AGTCCTTGTGGACAACAAGTTAAACATGAGCCAACAATGTGATGTGGCGGCAAAAAAAAGCCAATGGGATTTTGGCCTGCATCAAGAGGAGCCTAGTGCCTAGATCTAGGGAAGTCATGCTCCCCATGCTCTATTCTGCTCTGGTTAGACCACACCAGGAATATTGTGTTCAATTCTGGGCACCACAATTCAAGAGAGATATTGACAAGCTGGAATGTGTCCAGAGAAGGGCGACTAGAATGATCAAGGGTCTGGAGAACAAGCCCTATGAGGAGTGGCTTAAAGAGCTGGGCATGTTTACCCTGCAGAAGAGAAGGCTGAGAGGAGACATGATAGCCATGTATAAATATGTGAGAGGAAGCCACAGGGAGGAGGAGGGAGCAAGCTTCCTTTCTGCTTCCCTGGAGACTAGGACACAAAACAATGGCTTCAAACTACAAGAGAGGAGATTCCATCTGAACATGAGGAAGAACTTCCTGACTGTGAGAGCCGTTCAGCAGTGGAACTCTCTGCCCCGGAGTGTGGTGGAGGCTCCTCTTTCTTTGGAAGCTTTTAAACAGAGGCTGGATGGCCATCTGTCAGGGGTGCTTTGAATGCAATATTCCTGCTTCTTGGCAGAATGGGGTTGGACTGGATGGCCCATGAGGTCTCTTCCAACTCTTTGATTCTATGTTTATATATGTGTGTGTGTGTGTGGTTTTGCACATACGTTGTAATGTTTTAGTGATCGTGACAGTTTGGTTGTTGCAGTCTGGGCATTAAGTGGAGAATGCCCATTGGGGGTCAAGAAATGGACCAGGGAACGAGGGGCTTGGCGCTCTCTAGCCAATGAACACGAGCGGCTGCTGTCAGAGCCACATCCTCCTGTCCTCGCACACTCGCTCTGGTTTTGTGCCAACTGAAGCGACTGCCAGATAAGGCTCTCTTCATTCACGCAGACTCAGAAACGTAGACGCAAAAATAATCTGAGAGTGGAGTGACAGCGAGAGGAAATGTTCCTTCTGGAGGGTTGTTCACTTGTGTAGAAATCTGAATGATAACCAAAGGAGAAAGAGAGAGCCTGGTTTGCCTGCGCACTTCCACTGTGTTGCTCAGGAGCGACCTCGGATGAGGTTTGCTTGATTCTATTTCGGTTTCTGTAGCCCAGAAAAGGCTTCCAGACAAAAATCAGAGGATGCAACCCCAAAGCATTCTCAGCCTTCCTAATGTCGCGACCCCTTAATCCAGTTCCTCATGTTGTGGTGACCCCCAACCGGGATTGTGGCGCAGCTGGTTGAGTGTCAGCTGCATTAAGATCACTCTGACCAAAAGGTCATGAGTTCGAAGCCAGCCCGGGTTGGAGTGGGTTTCCAACCAATTGTGTAGCCTGTTGTCGACCTTTGCAACCCGAAAAACAGTTACATCTGTCAAGTAGTAAAATTAAAAAAAAAGGAAAAAAAAAATAAACAAAATTTGCAACCCGAAAGACAGTTGCATCTGTCAAGTAGGAAAATAAGGTACCACCTTAAGAGTGTAGGGAGGCTAAAATTAACTAATTTATGAAGCCATAAAGAAGAACTCCAGTGGGGAAGCATGCGAGGAATGCGGAAGGTACTTCATCATGTCGCAGATGGACGATGAAAGCGACAGCTCCCCTGGCGGCCAGAAAAAGTTAAATAGCCTCTGTGTATGTCTGTATATGTTGTATGTCAAAATTGGCATTGAATGTTTGCCATATATGTGTACACTGTAATCCGCCCTGAGTCCCCTGCGGGGTGAGGAGAAGGGCGGAATAGAAAACCTGTAAAATACATAAAATTATTTTTGTTGCTACTTCATAACTGTCATTTTGCTACTGTTATGAAACGTCATGTAAATATATGATATGCAGGATATATTGTCATTCACTGGAACAAATTTGGCACAAATACCCAATATGCCCAAATTTGAATACTGGTGGAGTTTTTTGTATGTGTGTGTGTGGGGTGTGTGTGTGTGATTTTGTTGTTTTGGAGTTGTAGTTATTGGGATTTATAGTTAACCTATAATCAAAGAGTGTTCTGAACTCCATCGACAATGGAATTGAACTTGGCACACAGAAATCTCATGACCAACAGAAAATACTGGAAGGGTTTGGTGGGCATTGACCTTGAGTTTGGGAGTTGTAGTTCACCTATATCCAGAGGAGCGCTGTGGATTCACACAATGATGGATCTGAACCAAACTTGGCACAAATACTCAATATGCCCAAATGTGAAAACTGGTGGAGTTTGGGGAAAACAGACCTTGACATTTGGGAGTTGTAGTTGCTGGGATTTATAGTTCACCTACAATCGAAGTGCACCCTAAACCCCACCAATGATGGAATTGGGCACTTCCCACACAGAACCCCCATGACCAAGAGAAAATGCTGTGTTTTCTTATGTTTTTTGGCTATCCCTCTGACACCCCCTTGCAACCCCCCAGGGGTCCCGACCCCCAGGTTGAGAAATAGACCACTTGCCTGAAATACTGAGCTTTTTAGATAAGTGAGTAAGTAGTGTGTGTGTGTATGTGTGTGTATATATGTGTGTGTGTGTGTGTATATATATACATATACATACAAGCTTGATGTTTCCAGTTGACAAACTATATATGTGCCTTAATAACATGTGATGGGTGATACATAACCAAGGAATGTATAAAATGTCATTTAAGAAATAATTACTTTTGGAATAATGTATACTGAAATAATTCCTGTATAGCAAAAGGTGGTTAATTGTTGGGATGTATCAAATAACTTTTTTAAACGTATTATTTATAGATCCAACTACCTGACGAAGACTCCTGAGAGTCAACACTTGGTTGAATGTTGGAGTCCACTCTTGTGTAATAAAGAAAATACGACATTTACTGTGCAAGGATTTGGAGTCTACTTGTCTGTAGTAAAGATACATGAACTATTTCCCCTCTTGTGAAGAGGATTTTGTCAAATTATTTCTGTTTCATGTGAATGTAGCAATCCGAGATTTTACTAAACTTGTATTTTTGTGTATACACTGAATTTCTATGTGTTTAGAAATTCAGACTAGACTGGATTACTGCAATGCACTCTATGTTGGGCTGCCCTTGAAAACGGCCCGGAAATTTCAGATGATCCAATGGGCGTCAGCCAGGTTGTTAAGTGGTGCTCCTTACAGGGAGCGGTCAACCCTCCTGTTCAAGGAGCTCCGTTGCATCTCAAATAGACTACTGCAATGCACTCTACGTGGGGTTGCCCTTGAAGACTGTTCGGAAACTTCAACTGGTCCAGCAAGTGGCAGCCAGACTACTCACCAGAGCGTCATACAGGGAGCACACCACCCCCCTACTGTGTCAACTCCACTGGCTGCCGGTTCAGTTCCGAGCACACTTCAAGGTGCTGGTTTTGACCTACAAAACCCTGTACGGTTCCAGTCCAGTGTATCTGTCCGAACGTATCTCCCTCTACGTCCCACCCCGGAGTCTGAGATCATCTGGGGATGCCCTGCTCTCAACCCCACCGCTATCACAAGTGAGGTTGGTGGGGACGAGGAGCAGGGCCTTCTCGGTGGTGGCCCCTCACCCGTGGAACTCACTCCCGGGAGAGATTAGGGCATCAACATCCCTCCTCTCCTTCAGGAGGAAAGTAAAGACGTGGTTGTGGGACCAGGCCTTTGGGCAATCTGACAACTAGATAAGGACAATCAAACGACTAGGACTGACAGGACTGACAATGTGGAATTGGAATTTGGACTATGAGATAGCGAAAGCTGACCGTCTATGAGGAGTAATTGGGTTTGTATTGTTTTATTGGTTTTAGGGTTGTAATGCAGGAATTGTTGTTTAACTGTTCAACTGTTTAACTGTTTAATTGATGTTATTTTGTGTTACTACTGTTATGTGATGCTGGCATCGAATTGTGCCTTTGTAAGCCGCCCTGAGTCCCCTTTGGGGTGAGAAGGGCGGGGTAGAAGAAACCGAAATAAATAAATAAATAAATAGGCTGCCGTTCATTTACCGGACCCAATTCAAGGTGCAGGTTCTTACCTACAAAGCCCTGAACGGCTTGGGACCCGCCTACCTATGTGACTGTATCTCTGTATACGAACCCACACGATCTCTTCGTTCATCTGGAGAGGCCCTGCTCTCGATCCCACCAGCTTCGCAGGCGTGATTGGTGGGGACGAGAGAGAGGGCCTTCTCGGTGGTGGCCCCTCAACTCTGGAACGCACTCCCTAAAGACATCAAACAGGCCCCAACTGTGGCAGTCTTCAGGAGGAGCTTGAAGACGTGGCTGTTCCAGTGTGCCTTCCCAGAATAATGATCCCATAGCACTTGGTCCTCCAAAGCACTTTACATTTCTTTAGGTCTGCTCGTATGCCCTTCCGCAACCACCACTACCTCCTTTTCGTCTATGTCCAATCAATATTTCCAATTTTAACTGTACATTTGGCCTTCCCACTGTTTTTAATTGTGTGTTGGCTTATTGATAATGTTGTATATTTTTATTGTCTATGTTTTTATTTTTAATTGCTTGTACTGTTGTTTATTGTCTGTATTGTTGTATTTGGTCTCGGCCTCATGTAAGCCGCACCGAGTCCCTTGGAGAGATGGTAGCGGGGTGTAAATAAAGTGTTATTATTATTATATTATTTTGCATCACTGCAATTAGTGGATACGTGTCTCGCTATGGAAAACGACAAGGACATTTCACGCGAAGGAGGGCGCGCATGCAGATACGAGAGACAACACTGCATGCTCCGGAGACCTCTCGACTCAGTTCTACAAACAGCCGTGTTAACCGGAAAACACAACAGCTACTCTAGCGTCAGTGTTATTAGGAGATGCAAGAGTTGTAACGGCTACTTCGTTTCTAAGGACGAGGAGGAAGAGGAAGAGGAGGAAAGTGACCACAAAACAGAACAAGAGAAGGACTAAGTTAAAGAAGTATAACGGGCTAGATCTACGTTTGTGGTTAGGGTAAGAGCACTCCGGAAACACGGAATTGTGGAAAGACTTACGTGGCGGTGGAGTGCCTGCGGTTTCCCCATGGTATGTAGGTACACAGATGAAAAGAAAAGACAAGACACAGACCCCAAAAAAGAAAAAAAGATGTAACAGAGATGAAAAAAAATAAATAAAGAGGCGACAGAACAAGGCACTGGAAATTTCAAAACAAAGGAGATGATGGCCTTTCAGAGGGAGAGACATTTGCAATTTCAAATTATTAACATAACGACTTGTTTACATGGTCGCCCAAAGCCTCTGAGGATGGGCCGGGGGAAAAGGATGGCACGGAAGAATAGTGCAACGCCCGTGCCTCGCGGAGAGGCCGAGGAGATGGAAGGAGACGCATTGCACTGAACAGAAGGCAGGGAGGGGTGGTTCTCGATCATTTCCAGGCACGAGACAGTAGATCGAAACAAAAATGGCAGGGGGGAGGATGGGGAAAAGAGAAGGAAGACCGCCCAAAACATAAGCCAGCTGTTTACAGGCCTGAGTCCAACTGGGGAGGGGAAAGGATTCAAACTGGAAACTACCGGGCAGACAAAAAAAAAATTCTTCCTACCAAGCTGCACTTGGTTTGTTTACAGTGTTGCTTCACTTATCGCGGTACATTCCACGACTACCCGCAAAAAGTGAAAATCTACAAAGTAGTGCACTTAATCACACTTTGTTTACAGTGTTGCTTCACTTATCGCGGTACGTTCTACGACTACCTGCGAAAAGTGAAAATCTGCAAAGTAGTGCACTTAATCACACTTTGTTTACAGTGTTGCTTCACTTATCGCGGTACGTTCCAAGACTACCCGCAAAAAGTGAAAATCCGCAAAGTAGTGCACTTAATCACACTTTGTTTACAGTGTTGCTTCACTTATCGTGGTATGTTCCAAGGCTACCCGCGAAAAATGAAAATCCGCAAAGTAGTGCACTTAATTACACTTTGTTTACAGTGTTGCTTCACTTATTGCAGTATGTTCCAAGACTACCCACAAAAAGTGAAAATCCGCAAAGTAGTGCACTTAATCACACTTTGTTTACAGTGGTCCCTCACTTATCGCGGTACGTTCCAGGACCACCCGCGAAAAGTGAAAATCCGCAAAGTAGGGACGCTATATTTATTTTAATATTTATAGTGTTCCCTCACTTATTGCGGTATGTTCCACGACTACCTGCGAAAAGTGAAAATCCACGAAGTAGTGCACTTAATCACACTTTGTTTACAGGGTTCCCTCACTTATCACGGTATGTTCCAGGACCACCCGCGAAAAGTGACAATCCGCAAAGTAGTGCACTTAATCACACTTTGTTTACAGTGTTGCTTCACTTATCGCAGTATGTTCCATGACTACCCGCAAAAAGTGAAAATCCACAAAGTAGTGCGCTTAATCACACTTTGTTTACAGTGTTTTCTCACTTATCGTGGTACGTTCCAGGACCACCCGTAAAAAGTGAAAATCTGCAAAGTAGGGACTCTATATTTATTTTAATATTTATACATTATTTTAGTAGTTATACACTGTTTTAAGTCTTTATAAACCAGTGATTCTCAACCTTCCTAATGCTGCGACCCCTTAATACAGTTCCTCATGTTGTGGTGACCCCCAACCATAACCGTAACATTATGAATTGCCATGTAAATAATGATCTGCAGGGTGTATTGTCATTCACTGGATCAAATTTGGCACAAATACCCGGTATACCCAAATTTGTATACTGGTGGGGTTGGGGGGGGGGGGTTATTTTGTAATTTGGGAGTTGTAGTTGCTGGGATTTATAGTTAATATGCAAACAAAGAGCATTCTGAACCCCACCAACAATGGAATTGAACCAAAGTTGGCACACAGAACTCCCATGACCAACAGAAAATACTGGAAGGGTTTGGTGGGCATTGACCTTGAGTTTGGGAGTTGTAGTTTGCCTACATCCAGAGAGCACTGTGGTCTCAAACAATGATGGATCTGGACCAAACTTGGCACGGATACTCAATATCCAAATGGGGGGGGGGGGGGGGGGGCTGAGTCTGAGTGAAAGAGGGTGTACCCTAGCAAACCTTTTGTATCATTACCCCAATACCCCCATGCATATGGGATATATTGAGTATGGTGATCAGATCATGATATGAATAAACATAACAGTTTAAATAATGCACCAGTAAGGCCTTTTCGCGAACCACCATGAGAATTTTGGGGGGGCTGAAGCCCCCCAGCGCCCCCCCCCCCCCCCCCCCCCCCCCCCCCCCCCCCCCCCGGCTACATGCCTGGATCTGGACCAAACTTGGCACTGATACTCAATATGTCCAAATGTGAACACTGATGGGGTTTGGGGAAAATAGACTTTGACATTTGGGAGTTGTACTTGCTGGGATTTATAGTTCACCTACAATCAAGGAGTGTTCTGAACCCCACCAATGATAGAATTGGGCCAAACTTCCCACACAGAACCCCCATGACCAACAGAAAATACTGTGTTTTCTGATGGTCTTTGGCGACCCCTCTGGTCGGGACATCCCAGGTGTTGCTTCCCGACCCCCAGGTTGAGAAACACTGTTATAAACCCTCCCCACACTCTTATACACTACACAACCCCTTTCCTTCACCTTATAAACAAAATCCTAAGGGCTAAGTCACCTAAGGGCTGAGAAGGGCAGTATAAAAATATTGTAAATAAATAAATAAATAAATAAATAAATATATCCTTCAGTCACTTTAGTTGAGCAACAAATTTTAGAAAGTGCTCAACAACAAATTTTAGAAAGTGCTCAACTTCCAATGGGCATATATAAGAAGCGTTCATGCACGCATGTGCAGTCTAACCGTTGCGCTTCCTTACTCGCCTCTGCTGTGAGTCGACCAAATAAATGGCTCTGGAGCCATTTCCGGGGCCACGGTAGCGCAGTAGGCCACATTTTGTGACCAGCAGGTCTTCCCCGCTGCGCCTCAGGCTTGGCTGAAAAACCGCAAAACAGCGAATCCGCGAAAAGCGAATCGCGAAGTAGCGAGGGATTACTGTAATTCTCACTACATGATGGGAAGCTACACATCAGGGAGGACTGCTGATGGTTCTCCTGCCTCCACTGAAAGGCAGGAGAAGGTGGAACGTATCAGTCTGGGAAGGAGGAGGAGGAAACAAACAGGCTGCAGACATGGCTGAGAGGGCCAATACCTTCCACGACACCTTACAAATCCGGCTCAGCGCTGTTTGCTTTTTAAGCCCCATCGGGAAATAGGAGGCTCTGTACTTCACAAACAATATCTGGGTTGTTGTGAGTTTTTCGGGCATAGAAAGCCATGAAGGCTCTATGTAGATACTAGGATTCAGAGGCAGCGGAAGGCAAGAGTTGTTCCTTTCACAACCCACTCAAGGCCAGTCCTTCCACAGGAACCTATTTGGCCACTTTGGTAACCCAATGTAGTCACTCTATGCCTGTCCTTGCTATTTTCCTTAAGTCATGGGGATAATGGGTTGGGAGTGAGGATGGAAAGGCAGGTGATCTGTTGGTCTCAAGCCTATATTTCAGAAGATGGGAAGCTGGAGCCAAACCATCCTTCTTCTGCCAAAGGAAGACACTGTATTATGTGTCCTGCCTCAAGTCACATGAGTTATGCCAAATTGCAAAAAGAGAAATGAATTTATCTTTTTGCAACTTGTAATATATTACATTACATACCATAGTAATGTAATATATATTGTGTGTACATAGAATATTTATAATATTATAATGTAATACAATATAATACTAATAATATGACATTATAATTATATATTTTATATTACATGTAATATTACAAATAATATTACAATATAATGGTATAGTACAATATAGTAATATATAATACTGATATTGTACTATGCTAATGATATATTGTATGTATATACTGTATACACTCGAGTATAAGTCTAGTTTTTCAGCCCTTTTTTAGGCTGAAAAAGACCCCCTCGGCTTATATTCGAGTCAAGATTATTTATTATTTTACTCTATTATTATTATTATTATTATTATTATTATTATTATTATAGGTTAGCTTTATTGTTTTTATTAATATTGCATTTATTATTTTACTCTATTATTATTGGAAGGATATGTACATTGAAGAAGGTTGGAATAATAGTTTAGTCAGAGTTGGAAAGTCTTATCTTACAGTTTTATGTAAATATTATTATTATTATTATTATTTATTCTATTTATTATTTTATTTCATTTATTATTTTATTCTATTTATTATTTTTACATTTGCCATTTTACTCGATTATTATACATTTATTATTTTACTGTATAATTATTGTTATTCTTACACTTATTATGTTACTGTCTTTATAATTATTGGAAGGATCCGTAAGCACGTTTACATCGAAGAAGGTAAATAATAATTTAATCAGAGTTGGACAGTCTTATCTTAAATCACAATTTTTGTAAATATTCAAAAATATATAACCAACTCATTCCTCTATTAATGCAATTTAATTGGTATCTAATTTTTATTTTGCAATTTACCCATAGCTGCTGCATTTCCCACCTTCGGCTTATATTCGAGTCAATCAATTTTCTCTGTTTTTTGTGGTAAAATTAGGTGCCTCGGCTTATATTCGGGTTGGCTTATACCCAAGTATATACGGTATATCTTGTAAGCCACTCCGAGTCCCCTTTGGGGTGAGAAGGGTGGCATGGAAATGTTGTAAATAAATAACTAATTAAATAAATAAAATATTATCCTTCAAATATGAGCAAATATTCTCCGATAAGTATCCAAGCACTTCTTTCCTCAACCAATTCCTGAGTGCGCACCTTGACGGGAGGAAGACAACAATGGAAACACTCTCAAAAGAGCGAAATGTCAGGAAACCTGAGAAACCAGAAGAGTTGGGAATGGGCAGAGCTGCGAGAGAGAGAGGTACGAGGGCCATCCATGCATAAGGGATGCCGCGAAAAGGCAGGGCGAGCGGGACAGCGAAGGCCGAGGCTTGCAAAAGCAGGGAAGGGCAGAAGAGCGAGGGGTTTACTTACGAACTGGCTGCGTCTTGAACTCGGAGAGAGAGCTCACCTCTCCCGCACCTTTGCCGTTGATGGCGGAGAGACGGATCGCGTACAGCGTCTCCGGCTTCAGGCCCACGATGGTGAACACGCTGCCTGCGTTGGCTGTTCCGGGAAAGAGAAGAGACACAACGAAGGGCACGGCATCAACCACGGTTCCTTCCGCACTTTCCTCCCAAGAGTTGCAACCACCCGTGACGTTTTCCTCCTACCTTCCTTGGCGTCGTAGAGCCTGGTGTGCCAGTTCTCCTCCCCCAGCGCCCGCCACTCGGCCTTGTAGCGGAGGATGGGCACGCCGCCCGTGGCCTCGGGCTCCTCGAACATCACCTGGGCGGTGCTGGAGTAGGGCTCCACCTCGTCGATGGAAGGCGCGGAGGGCGTGTCTGGAGGAAAAAGGCAAGGCGAGCACAGCTATGGAACAGGTGCCTGAGCATAATGCCAAAATGCATCTCTTCCTCTGGCACCTCAGAGAATGTAAAGCCTTTGGTTTAGATAATGTAGATTGTAGGTACTTCATGGTTTTTGGTGTTAGAAATGCATATTTTTAAAAAAAAGAGGAGGGAGAGAAAAATAGTTGATAAACATATTTTCTTGAATTTTAGGAAATGTTGACGACGAATTGTGGCTTGATGATCTGTTTGTTGGCATTCAACCCCAGTTAGTTTAATACTAGCTGTGCCCGCCATGCGTTGTTGTGGCCAACCTTCCCTCCCTATTTCTCTTCTTTCTCTCTCTCCTTCCTTCCTTCCCCTTTTCTTTCTTTCTTTCTTTCTTCTCTCCTGCTTTCCTTCCTTCCTTCCTTCCTTCCCTCTTTCTTCTTTCTTTCTTTTTTCCTTCTTTTCCTTCCTTCTTTTCTTTCCCTCCTTCCTTCCCTCCTTCCCCTCTTTTCTTTCTTTCTTTCTTTCCTTCTTTCTCTCCTTCCTTCCTTCCCTCCTTCCTTCCTTCCCTCTTTCTTCTTTCTTTTCTTTCTTTTCTTTCTTCTTTCTTTCTTCTTCCTTCCTTCCTTTTTTCTCCTTCCTTCTTTCTTTTTCCTCTTTCCTTCCTTCCTTCCTTTCTTTCTCCTTCCCTCCTCTTTCTTCCCTTCTTTTCTCTCCTTCTTCCCTCCTCTTCCTTCCCTCTTTCCTTCTTTCTCTCTTCCTTCCTTCCTTCCTTTTCTCCTTCCTTCCTTTTCTCCCTCTTTTCTTCCTTCCTTCTCTCCTTCCTTCCTTCCTTCCTTCCTTCCTTCCTTCTTTCTTTCTTTCCTTCCTTCTCTCCCTCTTCCCTTCATCCCCCCCCCTTTTCTTCCCCTTCCCCTTTCTCCTTTCTCTACCTATTCTTGGACTGCAACTCCCAGCAGTCCTCCTGATCAATCTATCTGACTACCTACCTATCTATATCTAATCTATCTATCTGGAAGATTGCTGGGAGTTGCAGTCCAGGAATAGGAAATTGGAAATATGCAGGGATTGGGATGCTCTCAAAGAAATCCAAGGAGAAGAAAGCTTGCAGCTTGGAAGCAGTGCATTTGGATCATCTTCCTCTCCTAAAGGGCCTGGTCTAGGGGATGCTGGGAGCTGTAGTCCAGAAGCGAGGTGTGGATATGCTATTCTGTGTTTTGTTTGACAGGGGGAGTCAATTGTGTGCATGCGCTGTAGTGTCGTTTTGCTTTTTTGGCTTTTGAAGTCCCTTCCACTGTGTTTTCCAGTGTTTTTATGAGTGACGGTTCCTCGTTGGCCTGATGCGCGTATTGCGTCCAAATTTGGTGTCAATTCGTCCAGTGGTTTTTGAGTTATATTAATCCCACCGTCTGTCTGTCTGTCTATCTATCTTTATTATATAGATAGACGAAGGATTTCGCTTCTCCCATGCCTCCTGTATGACAGTTGGGAATGTACCTATTTCTCCTCTCTTCTCTGTTTCAGCTCTGATTCTGTTTGGTTGTTTAAAATAAATGAGATGAGAACTGGAGGTTTGCAAGGTGCAAGGTGCAACAAAACACAACCCTTCCACACACAAAAATGGACAGTGCAAGTTGAGAGAGTGGTATCTACTGCAAGCTTTGTAAAAACTGTCTTCTGCCTTCTTACATTTTTTAGCAAGGAGAGTATGTGCTGTGTGATTTGAGATCTCTCTCTCTGCTTGTGTGTCAGGAGAGATTTTGTGATTGGTGTTCTTTTCCTCTCTTTGAAATCTTAGAAGAGATGGTTGTTAGAGTGGCTCAGACCCAGTTCTTTACCATCAATAAATGTAGTTAGTTCCTTATTATTGTAAATAAACCTTTTGTGATTTTTTAGATTGGACTCTACATCTTTGCCTCCTAAGCTCTGAATTCGTTACAGCCACATGTAAGAAATCCAACATTTGCAAAAACCCAGAGCATCCAAAAACAAACAGGATACTAGCAGAGAATCCAAAAATAAACAGGATACTAAAAGTTTGAGTATCAACTCACAGCAAGCACAGCGTGAAGTCACACGACACTTCACGCTGTGCTTGCTGTGAGTTGATACTCAAACTTTTAGTATCCTGTTTATTTTTGGATTCTCTGCTAGTATCCTGTTTGTTTTTGGATGCTCTGGGTTTTTGCAAATGTTGGATTTCTTACATGGTAAATGTGTTTTGGCCCTGCTCCCACACTTTTTGGGAAAAGTCCACATTTTTTGTGTAAACATTTTCACCCCAGGACCCTGTGAGTATCTTCATGAAGGACATGGGCATTTTACAGAAGGTAGAGCAGTAACTGTGGCAAAATATGTTGTGAGTTCAGAAAAAAACATGAGGGCAAAGGTAGCTTATAATCGTATGTATATGCCTTCCGAGACTCACCTGCTTGCACCAGGATGAACTCCGAAGACTCCTGGCCAATCCGGTTGACGGCTGTGCAGTTGTAATTCCCAAAGTCATTTTCTGAGTCCGGCGTCACCTACAAACAGGAAATACATTCGGGGATTGGATCACCAGGGAAGCTAGGATGGTTCCCATCTTGTTGTCTTCGGTCAGCAAGGATTTTCGGAACTGATGGCAAAGGGCTTTTAATTGTGGGCTGCCTCGCTGCTTTGAAATGTATTTGAAATCCATGGATAGTTCAACTGCATCTTAGCAGCTGAAGTGTTTTTAATTAGGTCTTGATAATGTGCTTTTAAGTGTATTAATTTTGAATTTTTGTGAAACACATTGAGTGCTGTTACTTGGCAAGAAGGAGGGAGTTGAAGAAATAGTCCTAATATGAGCGGCAGCAGTATCTGGAGCCTTCCAATTGGGGGAGAAAAGGGGAAATCAAGACACACTAAAGCAGGGATGGGCAAACTAAGGCCCTCCAGGTGTTTTGGACTTCAACTCCCACCATTCCTAACAGACTCAGGCCCCTTCTTTTTCCCCTCTGCCGCTTAAGCCTGAGGCTGTGAAGAGGAAAAAGGAAAGGGACTGAGGTTGTCGAGGAGGAAAAGGAAAGGGACTGAGGCTGTCGAAGGTGAAAAGGAAAAGGACTGAGGCTGCCGAGGGGGGAAAGGAAAGGGACTGAGGCTGCCGAGGGGGGAAAGGAAAGGGACTGAGGCTGCCGAGGAGGAAATGAAAGGAACTGAGGCCGTCGAGGGGGAAAAGGAAAAGGACTGAGGCTGTTGAGGGGGAAAGGAAAGGGACTGAGGCTGTCGAAGGTGAAAAGGAAAAGGACTGAGGCTGCCGAGGGGGGAAAGGAAAGGGACTGAGGCTGCCGAGGAGGAAATGAAAGGAACTGAGGCCGTCGAGGGGGAAAAGGAAAAGGACTGAGGCTGTTGAGGGGGAAACGAAAAGGACTGAGGCTGTTGAGGGGGGAAAGGAAAGGGACTGGCGCTGCCAAGGAGGGAAAGGAAAGGGACTGAGGCTGCTGAGGGGAGAAAGGAAAGGGACTGAGGCTGCTGAGGAGAAAATGAAAGGAACTGAGGCTGTCGAGGGGGAAAAGGAAAAGGACTGAGACTGTCAAGAGGGAAAAAGAAAGGGACTGAGGCTGCCGAGGGGGAAAAGGAAAAGGACTGAGGCTGTTGAGGGGGGAAAGGAAAGGGACTGGCGCTGCCAAGGAGGGAAAGGAAAGGGACTGAGGCTGCCGAGGGGGGAAAGGAAAGGGACTGAGGCTGCTGAGGAGAAAATGAAAGGAACTGAGGCTGTCGAGGGGGAAAAGGAAAAGGACTGAGACTGTCAAGAGGGAAAAAGAAAGGGACTGAGGCTGCCGAGGGGGAAAAGGAAAAGGACTGAGGCTACTGATAGGTAAAAGGAAGAAGCCTGAGTCTGTTAGGAATGGTGGGAGTCCAAAACACCGGGAGAGCCGAAGCTTGCCCATGCTGTTTGGAAGGACCACTTGACCTCTGCACACCTACTTTGCTTTCTACTTCCACCCTTTTCTCAGCCAAGCCGTCTCCCTGGAGTGACTTTGCATCCCCATCCCTTTGCATCGATGGCTGTGCGTCAACTACCTGCTCTCTTCCCCCAACGTGGCCTCACCTCCAGGTAACTGGCGGAGGGCGTGTTGTAGATCCGGATGTTGCTGTAGTTGGAGCTGGGCAGCAGCTGCCCATCCCGGAACCAGGAGATGACGGCGCTGGGGTAGGCAAAGACCTCGCAGGTGATGTTCACCTGGTTGCCTTCCCAGGTGTAAACTGCAACAGGGCCCTGCAACTTTGGGGCATCTGGAGCAAAAGGAAAACATTAGACATGAGCGAAAAACACCAAAAGGGACCCCAAGGTATGTTTCATGACATCTCCCCTTCTCCCCAGATTGTTTATAGCAGTGGTTCTCAACCTGTGGGTCCCCAGGTGTTTTGGCCTACAACTCCCAGAAATCCCAGCCAGTTTACCAGCTGTTAGGATTTGTGGGAGTTGAAGGCCAAAAACATCTGGGGACCCACAGGTTGAGAACCACTGATTTATAGCTTCATCTTAATAACTTGGGCATAGGGACCTCTGACGGCGCAGCGGGTTAAACTGCTGAGCTGCTGAACTTGTTCACTGAAAGGCTGGCAGTTCGAATCTGGGGAGTGGGGGTGAGCTCCTGCTGTTACCCCCAGCTTCTGCCAACCTAGCATTTTGAAAACATGCAAATGTAAATAGATCAATAGGCAGGAAGGGAACTGCGCTCTATGCAGTCATGCCAGCCATATTAAGTCTAGTCATGTTCAACTCTGAGACTCTGGTGCTCATCTCCATTTCTCGAACAGGTCATAGGGTTACAGCCTGTGTTGGATGGGGTTACACTCCCCCTGAAGATGCAGGTTCGCAGCTTGGGTGTGATTCTGGACTCATCGCTGAGCCTGGAACCCCAGGTTTCGGCGGTGGCCAGGGGAGCTTATGCACAGTTTCGTGCACCAGCTGCACCCGTACCTTGGGAAGTCTGATCTGGCCATGGTGGTCCATGATCTGGTTACATCCTGAATAGACTACTGCAACGCACTCTACGTGGGGTTGCCTTTGAAGACTGTCCAACGGGTGGCAGCCAGATTACTAACTGGGGCGGCATACAGGGAGCATACCACCCCCCTGTTATGCCAGCTCCACTGGCTGCCGGTCCATCTCCGAGCCCAATTCAAAGTACTGGTTTTGACCTATAAAGCTCTATACAGTTCTGGTCCAGCTTACTTGTCTGAACGCATCTGCCCCTACGTCCCACCTCGCAATTTAAGATCATCCAAGGAGGCCCTGCTCTCACTCCCGTCAACAGTGGAAATTTGTCTGGTGGGGACGAGGAGCAGGGCCTTCTCGACTGTGGCCCCCCGCCTATGGAACACACTCCCAAAGGAGGTAAGTTCTGCTCCCTTGCTCCTGACCTTTAGAAAAAAAATTAAAATCATGGTTCTGGGACCAGGCCTTCGGACTATAGATGTATGCAGCTTTTATAGGGACAAGGACTGGAACGGCGACTCAACTGATGAGACTGTTTTATGGTTTTAATAACTGTTTTGATATTTGATGAGAAAAGCGGTATATAAATACTGTAAATAAATAATAAATAAGTAGCCGAAGAGCTAGCATTGTCCATAGACACCTCCAAGGTCATGTGGCCATCATGACTGCATGGAGTGTCGTTACCTTCCTGCAGAAGCAGTATCTATTGATTTACTCACATTTGCATGTTTTTGAACTGCTAGGTTGGCAGGAGCTGGGGCTAACAGCTGGAGTTCACCCATCTCCCTGGATTTGAACTGCCAACCTTTTGGTCAGCAAATGCAGCAGGTCATTGGTTTAACCCGCTGCGCTAACGGGGTCCTACGTTGAGATATCATGGCTTAAAATAAAATATGTGTTCTATTTGCCTATCGATCTTATTTCATTTGCTCCTTGTCTCTTGGTTGTTCATCTCCTGACCCCTCTCCCCACTTGTTCAACCTCTTCTCTCCAAACTCATTCCACCCCAGATGTTTTGTGTTCAACAGCTCCTTATATATGAGTACAAATGGAGAAGGGAAAGGTCAAAACTTATGGAGACGGAGGATTGTGCCCACTCACACTGCACTTCCAGGTACATGGCTTGGGAGTCCTGCCCGATGGTGTTGCTGGCGATGCAGACGTACTCCCCGGCGTCCGTGTACTGGATGTCCTTCAGCGTCAGAGAAGAGACGCGGGCATGGCTGCGCACGACGATGCGCCCGTCCAAGGTCTAGCGGGGAAAGGAGCCAGAGTTGAGAAGGCTGGTTACGAGTGGAGAAACGCACATCGAGAGCAATGTTGGAACCCAGGACGGGGTCCGAGATAGGACCTTGGGGTAACCAGCCCCTCTCTCTCGTCCATCCTCTCTCAATTCTCCCACGGAACGGAAGGACACAGAGGTTGTTGTAGGTTTGTCCGGGCTATATGGCCATGTTCTGGAGGCATTTTCTCCTGACGTTTCGCCTGCATCTATGGCAAGCATCCTCAGAGGTAGTGAGGTCTGTTGGAAGTACGAAAAATGGGTTTATATATCTGTGGAATGACCAGGGTGGGACAAAGGACTCTTGTCTGCTGGGGCTAGGTGTGAATGTTTCAGCTGACCACCTTGATTAGCATTCAATGGCTTGGAAGCGCCTGGGGGAATCCCTTGTTGAGAGTGATTTTATGTGCCTGTTTGTTTTCCTTCTGTTGCTTTGCTGTTGTTTTGAGTTTTTAATACTGGTAGCCAGATTTTGTTCATTTTCATGGTTTCCTCCTTTCTGTTGAAATTGTCCACATGCTTGTGGATTTCAATGGCTTCTCTGTGTAGCCTGACATGGTGGTTGTGAGAGTGGTCCAGCATTTCTGTGTTCTCAAATAATATGCTGTGTCCAGGTTGGTTCATCAGGTGCTCTGCTATGGCTGACTTCTCTGGTTGGAGTAGTCTGCAGTGCCTTTCATGTTCCTTGATTCGTGTTTGGGCAATGCTGTGTTTGGGGGTCCCTATGTAGACTTGTCCACAGCTGCATGGTACACAGTAGACACAGCATATTATTTGAGAACACAGAAGTGCTGGACCACTCTCACAACCACCATGTCAGACTACACAGAGAAGCCATTGAAATCCGCAAGCATGTGGACAATTTCAACAGAAAGGAAGAAACCATGAAAATGAACAAAATCTGGCTACCAGTATTAAAGGACTCAAAAATTACAACAGCAAAACAACAGAGGGGAAACAAACAGGCACAAAAATCACTCTCAACAAGGGATTCCCCCCGGGCACTTCCAAGCCATTGAATGCTAATCAAGGTGGTCAGCTGAAACATTCACATCTAGCTCCAGCAGACAAGAGTCCTTTGTCCCACCCTGGTCATTCCACAGATATATAAACCCATTTTTCCTACTTCCAACAGACCTCACTACCTCTGAGGATGCTTGCCATAGATGCAGGCGAAACGTCAGGAGAAAATGCCTCAGAACATGGCCATATAGCCCGGAAAAACCTACAACAACCCAGTGATTCCGGCCATGAAAGCCTTCGACAAGACACAGAGGTTGCCGCAGCACGCTCTCTGCTCCCTGATGGATACTAAAGTGGAGCTGGCACTAATCTGCAAGGCATGCAGCTCATTGTGAAACCCAAAATCGACTCTCCGAGGCCCTCCTCCAATCTACTTCCATGTTTATTGCTTCTCCGGCTATCCGTAGCCACGATGGTTGCCACTATTTTATCCTTCAGGGCTGAGCTGCAGGATCGCTTTGGGAGGCAGGGGACTGCCCCCAACTTTACCTCGGACGCTCCCCCAAATGCCAGGAAAATGGTAGCAATCATTGTAGCTGAGCACAGCCTGGAAAGAAAGGGAGAGAGACAGAGAAAGGCAAAAAGGGAAAAAAACAAGGGTCAGGGCCTTCTTGGTGGTGGCCCCTCAACTCTGGAACGCCTTCCCCAAGGACATCAGGCATGTCCCAATGCTGGCAGTCTTTAGAAGGAGCTTGAAAACGTGGATGTTCCAGTGTGCCTTCCAAGAATAAGGGACACCTACTACTAGTATGAGAGAGGGACACCTACTATTGCATATTGGCAGAAATTATCTCACAAAAACCCAAGCCAATGGGATTTTGGCCTGCATCAAGAGGAGCAGAGTGTCTAGGTCCAGAGAAGTCATGCTCCCCATGCTCATGGTTAGACCACACCTGGAATATTATGTCCAATTCTGGGCACTACAATTGAAGGGAGATGTTGACAAGCTGGAATGTGTCCAGAGGAGGGCAACTAAAATGATCAAGGGTCTGGAGAACAAGCCCTATGAGGAGCGGCTTAAAGAGCGGCTCCCCATGTTCTATTCCGCCTTGGTTAGACCACACCTGGAATATTGTGTCCAATTCTGGGCACCACAATTGAAGGGAGATGTTGACAAGCTGGAATGTGTCCAGAGGAGGGCGACTCAAATGATCAAGGGTCTGGAGAACAAGCCCTATGAGGAGTGGCTTAAAGAGCTTGGCATGTTTAGCATGAAGAAGAGAAGGCCGAGAGGAGACATGATAAGGGCCATGTATACATAATAATAATAATAATAATAATAATTATTATTATTATTATTATTATTATTATTATTATTATTATTCGCCGATACATCACACAGTCCTAGACACTTAGGAAGTGTCCGACGTGTGATCCAATACAACAGCCAGCAGAATGTCTGCTGTGGACTCATCTTGTGGTGTTTCTAATAATAATAATAATAATAATAATAATAATAATAATAATAATAATCTTTATTTATACCCCGCCACCATCTCCCCCAATCGAGATGGTGGCTTGGTTGATTTAAAAAAATGGTTCAAAACTCTTTTTGGATGTAGTCCAATTCTAAAGTCAATTCCGATTTTCACAGAATTTTTTTCCCAAAACTTTTCGAAACTTACAAGACTTCTGAATCCTTTTATTAAAAGTTTGAAAGTGTTATTTCCTGTTTCATTGGGTGGTCTTGACTTTAAAATTAGTTGTTTTGCTCCAGAAGTGGGGAAAAGCAAGCGGAAGAAATTCCTTCTTTCTCTGGTTTAAAACTGGCTTCTCTGGCTTGAGTCAAGGCCAAGGAATTCCTTTCTTCTCTGATTATAAAACTGGCTTATCTGGCTTGAGCTGAGGCCAGGAAATTCCTTCCTTCTCTGGTTTAAAACTGGCTTCTCTGGCTTGGACTCTCACTTGCTGAGGTGTTCCAGCGAGTGTCTCTGTAGATCTTAGAAAACTATGTCTAGATTTAAGTCGTTGACGTGCTGGCTGATACCCAAACAGGGGATGAGCTGGAGATGTCTCTGCCTTGGTCCTTTCACTATTGGCTGCTACTTCCCGGCGGATATCAGGTGGTGCGATACCAGCTAAGCAGTGTAATTTCTCCAGTGGTGTAGGGCGCAGGCACCCCGTGATAATGCGGCATGTCTCATTAAGAGCCACATCCACTGTTTTAGCGTGGTGAGATGTGTTCCACACTGGGCATGCGTACTCAGCAGCAGAGTAGCATAGCGCAAAGGCAGATGTCTTCACTGTGTCTGGTTGTGATCCCCAGGTTGTGCCAGTCAGCTTTCTGTTTTAGTGTGGGGAGATGTGTTCCACACTGGACATGCATACTCAGCAGCAGAGTAGCATAGCGCAAAGGCAGATGTCTTCACTGTGTCTGGTTGTGATCCCCAGGTTGTGCCAGTCGGCTCTCGTACGATATTGTTTCTAGCACCCACTTTTTGCTTGATGTTCAGGCAGTCACAGAGGTCGACATGGGCAGGAGCAGTCAGAAGGCGTGGAGGCTGCTAAGACGGTTGAGCAACGACCCTTCACAAACTAATACCCATGCCAACATAAAGGCAGATCAGATCGCACACCAACTCTTGAAGAATGGGAAGCCCAACCTTGCCACCAAAGTAGAAAAGAAACCAATAGCCAGACAACCAGAGATTGAGAACAACAACCTTCATGAACCCTTTACATCTACAGAATTGGACATGGCTCTCAATAAATGCAAGAATGGCAAAGCAGCTGGCCTGGATGATCTACGGATGGAACAAATCAAGAACTTTGGTCCAAAAGCAAGGCGCTGGCTGCTGGAGCTGATGAACAACATCCGGATGTTATGAGGCATCTCAATAACACGGTGTTTTCCCACCATACTTTCTGATCAGCGTTGGAAAGCTGCTTTGTTTTAGGCCACGTCTCTCGGGATCTTCAAATCATGCTGGTTGGTGGATTCTGGGAGTCGTCGCCTCAATGCCCTTTTTCCCAAGCTCTTGCCTTGCTTGTGCCACCCAGGTCTGACTCAATTCCAAGTGTATCCCTTGATAGGAATTGCCTTCACGATGAGACCAAAGGCATCTAATTCTGCCAGTTAGTTCCTTTGGGAAGCCCGTAAGCAAGGCTTGAGGGAACAAAGGGAAAGGGTGGTTCTCTCTTTGCAACTCCTTCTCCGTGACTCACGGAATACGGAGACCTTGCTTAGATGGCTTGGTTGACAGCTTCCGATGGAATCAGTCTTTCAACTGCAGTCACTGGGTTACATCGGTTCATACTAAATCCCTGCAGGCAAAGTTTCACCTCTATCCTTTAACATAAAGGCACTTAACAGGAAATATTTTTCATGCATCCAAAGCAGACACACTCCACAAAATTGTAGAGGGTTGCTTTCTTGCAAAAACAGGATGGAAATGGGTTGCTTTCTTGCAAAAACAGGATGTAGTCTCCATTTCCTATTGAAATGGTTTTTTATGGGGCTGCACTAATGAAGTGGGGGGAAACACCAAGAGCCTGCCAAGGAGTGGCCCTTCCCCATCCCCATTCCATCTGCAGGTGAGCAGGCATCCCATAATATACACATAAAAAGCAGTCCTCATGGCCTGATTAGGCGCACATCAGCTACAAAGGGAACGCTCTGCACCGAACGCCTGGCTTTATCATCGGTTGCCATGGTAACAGATGCAGGACGAGACTCTGAACGTCTTCCTTCCTCCGCGGGTCCGCAGGAGTCCACCAAGGCAGGGCTTAAGTGGCCCAGGAAGACTGACCAACACTATTGCTGCAGAGGGCATTGCACTGAAAGGCAGAAAGACCCCTCAGTGTGCAGACGGGAATGGGCATAGGGCTGGCACATTGGCCGGGAGGGCCTTTGCACAACTGCTTGAATTGTGGTGCCCAGAATTGGACACAATATTCCAGGTGTGGTCTAATTAAGGCAGAATAGAGCATGAGGAGCATTACTTCCCTAGATCTAGACACTATGCTCTTATTGATGCAGGCCAAAATCCCATTGGCTTTTTTTGCCGCCACATCACATTGTTGGCTCATGTTTAACTTCCTGTCCATGAGGACTCCAAGATCTTTTTCACACGTACTGCTCTCGAGCCAGGCACTGTCCCCCATTCTGTCTCTTTGCATTTCGTTTTTTTCTGCCTAAGTGGAGTATCTTGCATTTGTCACTGTTGAACTTCATTTTGTTAGTTTTGGCCATTCATCTCTCTAATCTGCTCCTGTCCTCTGGAGTCTTGGCTATCCCTCCCAATTTGGTGTCATCTGCAAACTGGATGATCCTGCCTTCTAACCATTCATCTAAGTCATTAATAAGGATGTTGAACAGGACCGGGCCCAGGACAGAACCCTGCGGCACTCCACTCATCACTTCTTTCCAGGATGAAGAGGAAGCCTTGGGGAGAATCACCCTCTGGGTTCGTCCATTTAACCAATTCCAGATCCACCTCACCGCAGTTTTGCCTCACCCACATTGGACTAGTTTCCTTGCCAGAAGGTCATGGGGGACCTTGTCGAAGGCCTTCCTGAAATCCAGATATGCTCCATCCACGGCATTCCCCGCATCTACTCCCATCATACTCCAAGATGGCCACACTATGCTAGCACCATTGGGAAAGTGAGTTCCCAGGGCCCTTTCTGGAGGAGGAGGTAACTTTCTAAGAAAATATAGAGGAGACTTCTTCTGGTGGGGAGAGAAAAAGACGACACAGATCCCCCTGCCCCAGATATTTGTGGACTTAACTCTTTCCCAAAATATCATCTCTCCAAATTCGTTTCACCGGTCTTATCGTCTTTCTCTTTCCTTTTCTGTTTTTCGAAATTACTCAAAAAATGGCCCTACGAAAACTACAAATCTTTTCGTTAACAGTGATTCGGGCCCAACTCTAGCAGAGGGTTTGCTCCATGGGGCAAAAGAGACAGGTACATGGGGTCAAGGTGGACCAGAGCCCTGAAACCCACTCCCCGTGGCCACCAGCTTCCTTCTTTGCCTCTGACGCATCACTTCCCATCCTTCAGGACCAGTTTTGCTGCCTTCTCTTCCTTTGACTAACACTGAAATAGACAGTTGGATGCATCACCATTTCAAGGAGCAAAGAGGGAAAGGTTTTAGAAGGCTACAGGACATCACATTCTCCTTTTTTTAAACCATCAAAGAGGACATTTCTACATTTTTGTATAACTATAGGGGCAAGACGCAAAAGGAGGGCACTGAGCCACGTAAGTGTTTGATCCCCCACATGATTTCCCAAATTTCTAGCATTGCAGAAAGTGAGGCACACTCAAAACCGTTCTAGTGTGGATCCTGAGACCCACAGAGTTGCCCTCCTCATCTCCAGAGTTAGAAGCACCTGGCAAGAGAAAGAGCATGGAAACACAAAGCCAGAAGAGAAGCTCCATCACAGCAGGTCTCTTCATCTTCTTCACACTATGGGAAGATGTTGAGAAATGAGGTGTCTCCTCCAAATGTGTTCTCATTAGAAAAATGAGAACACGTTTTCCACCCCAGCTTTTGCCTTGGGAGACACCAGGATAGGGAAAGGCTAAGACTGTCTTTGCCCTCTTGTAGAAAACAGTGTGGAACTCATGCACATCAGCTAACATTCATTAAAATGACATATCTTGCACAAGGCTCTTGTATTCCTTCTCTTAACAACCAGGACAGAAGGAGACCCAGATCCCAGGAACCCATTTCTAGAAGTCTTCCCCATTCCACGATTGGAATGTGCTATTCTTCTGCTCTCAAAATCTGGAAATTTCGTTTGGTCTCAGAACATCTTCAAAAGAATATACCAGACTTACAATTGAACATCTCTGCTCCGAAAGTGGCAAGGTGGCATCACCAAGAATGGTCATTCAAAAGCATTCCAGACTTTCAAAACATCAACATGGAATCGATCCCCGTTTAAACTCAACCAGGTTCTGTGCACCAACCCAACCAAATGGAAATCAGTGATCAGTTATGGAGTTTAGGATGTCTACTCTTCCCAGAAAAGACAACACCGAGTAGCAAAATTCATATCTGTCTTTAAAAAAATCAGGCTTCTGGTGGTCACCAACTTCGGATGACCTTTGTTTACATCAGTGGTTCTCAACCTGGGGTCCCCAGATGTTTTTGGCCTACAACTCTCAGAAATCCTAACAGCTGATAAACTGGCTGAGATTTCTGGGAGTTGTGGGCCAAAAACATCTGGAACCCCAGGTTGAGAACCACTGGTTTACATTATGGATCAGCTGGCAGTTTGTGAAATCTGGTTTGACACCCAACATTAGCCAATTTCTCATTTCAAAATGGAGCCAGTGGGATCGTTTTCAGGGGATCGCGCTGGCTTTGAGTGGGGTCTCTGCGTTGCTTCTGAGATGGAATGTGATGCAAACGTTTTAGAGTAAAGCAGAATGCGCCTAACTGGAAACGAATGAGCAAGCAAGTGAATCCGAATGGGTGAGAGGGTCCGCCGCCTGAAATCCAGGGACAAGAGGCATCGTCATCTTGCCTGGACCCTCCTCCATGGTTGTGTGGGGGACATGAAAGAATACCACATTTGACACAATGGCCCTGGGCATCTCCTTCTTCGGTGACGGAGGGCATAGAGATGGGAGTGTTTCCAGGAGTGTCTCGATCAGGGGTCCTCAAACGTTTTAAACAAGAGGGCCAGCTCACAGTCCCTCAAACTGTTGGAGGGCCAGATTATAATTTGGGGGAAAAAAATGAATAAATTCCTGCACATATCTTATTTGTAGTGAAAAAACACTTTGAAACAATAATGTACCGTATATTCTGGCACATAATACTACTTTTTAACCCAAGACAATCTTCTCAAAAGTCAGGGGTCGTCTTATACGTGGGAGTCGTCTTATACGCTGGAGTAGCCTTACGCATGGGAGTAGTCTTATACGCCGGGAGTCGTATAAGCGGGTGCGGAAACTTCCAATCTGGATTGGAGATTCTGTGGTTGCTGCATATGGTGGGGGGAGCTCAAAAATTGCAGTGGCTGCAGCCCTGCCGTATGCAGCTACTGTATGAAAGCATTAAGGGCGACGCTGTACAAATATGGTAGAAGAAAATCCATTCATCAGGATTCGTGGACTTAATGTGGTCCCGATTGTGAGGTGAAGGGGCGCCTCACCGGGAAGGTGTAAGTGAAGGGCGGAGCAAGCTGCAGGCGTCCGGGGCGCCCGGGGTATGGAAAAAAGAGATAGAGTGGCTCTGGGCCCAGAAAAACACACCTCTTTTACCTGTCTGGCCCGCCCTTGTATCCTATTACCGTACCTCCTCCTCTGCCTCTCAGATCTCGCTCCTGAAGACTGCAGGTGCGCATGTGCGAGATCTGAGAGGCAGAGAAGGAGGTACAGTAATAGGAAAATTACCATATTGAAATCAAATCTGATGCTTTTTAAAAATTATTTCGTGTGTGTTGGAAGAGAGGTAGTCTTATATGGTGAGTATATCCCAAACTCTATATTTTAACTGGAAAAGTTGGGGGTCGTCTTATACACCAAGTCATCTTATATGCTGGAATATACGGTAATTAAAATGAAGAACAATTTTGAGAAATATAAGCTTTGTCGCAGGTTTTCATGGCCGGAATCATTGGGTTGTTGTAGGTTTTTTCGGGCTATATGGCCATGGTCTAGAGGCATTCTCTCCTGACGTTTCCTGCATCTATGGCAAGCATCCTCAGAAGTAGTGCAGTCTTTTTAACCCAAGAAAATCTTCTCAAAAGTCAGGGGTCGTCTTATACGTGGGAGTCGGCTTATACGCTGGAGTAGCCTTATCCTCCGAGGTAGTGACCTCACTATCTCTGAGGATGCTTGCCATAGATGCAAGCGAAATGTCAGGAGAGAATGCCTCTAGACCATGGCCAACCTACAGCAACCCAAATATAAGCTTATTAGTATTTCAGTGGAAAGTGTGGGGCTGCTTTCGGTTGATGAGATAGGATTGTTGTTGTTGTTGTTGTGTGCTTTCAAGTCATTTCAGACTTCAGCTGACCCTGAGTGAGGGCCGGGTAAATGATCTTGGTGGGCCGTATCCGGCCCTCGGGCCGTAGTTTGAGGACCCCTGGTCTAGATCCACCTGCAGAGAGGACTTTTGGGTTTCCATCTTCAAGGAGTGGAAAGCTGCTTTACTGACACTAAAACCCGGGCCCACGTTAATGTCACGCGTACCCCAAAGTGATGGGGAAGGAATCTGGCCCACTCCTGAGACACTATGCTTGCTCATTACAGGATGCACTATGACACAAGCGGCTTCTAACACTACCAGAATTTAGTATGGTTGATATATAGGTATATATCCTCAGCGTTAATGAAGTTACATTATTAATAGCTTTGCAACGCAATCCTATACATGCCCACTCCAAGTAAGCCCCGCTCAGTTCAGTTCGGCTTACTCCCCGGAGCGTGGGTATAGGATTGGCGTCTCCGTGGGCTCGGTTACCGCTACCGGAAATTTGTTAATCCGCAACACTTAAATACGAAAGATATAATCAATGCAAAGCGCTAAAGACGGTTGTCTAAGTGTGGTAATCTTATACCTCTTGTTTCTCCGGCCGGGTCCACGAAGCCTGGAGAGAATAAATAAATAAAACACGACAATACACACACACAAGAGAGAGAGCAATAAGTGTTTGCAAACGTGGCTGCTTCTCCCGGCCTTCGGTTAATAAGCGGTATGCATCACACTTCATTCGGTGCACATGCGGAACAAGACTCCAGAAGGGTGGGAAGGGTGGAGTGGCCCAATGAAGACCAAGGGAACCGAGACGGGACGTCTTTTCCCCGGTATTCATTCCAATCAGCATTTTAGTTGTTTGGAAATGATTGTCACATCCATTCCATCGAAGCCGACTTGACCATCCGCCCTCCCCGTGATTCCGGCAACCAAATCCGCCCGTTTGGTTTTGTGCCGCCGTTTTGCCACTCATCACAGTGACCGCCACGGTGAAAATACACAGAAACGTTTCCGCGGAGCTACATGAACAGCTCTCCATCTTCACAAACACAGCTTTTAACGCCACACGTTTAAAACGCTTCTCCATGCATGCACATACAAGCGTAGTGTCGTCTGCCTTTTTTTTTTTTCAACAAAAAGTACATGCTGTTGAAGAAGCAACTGCGGAGTGAAAAGGCAGCACAAATTCAAAGCCCAGCGAAAGCAACAGCAACAGAAGCCAAACCAAGCCTGTGGATAGCCTATTCCAACCTCGGGATAGTCAGGGCTTGCGAGTGAGCTACACAATCGCGGAGATGTTGTGTGTCTCTCTACCTGTTGCTTTGCGGGCTTGATCTGCTGCGGTTAAGGAGTGCCCTCCTCCCCTGGTGATTGTATCGCATTGTGTTTGGCATGGCAGCAGCAGACAGGAGGACCAATGGACACCAAACAAACAAATGGGATGTTCGGGTGACGAGGGGTTGCAACCCAGCACTGCTCCCCAAAGCATTCCCAGTGCCAATGGTTGCAACCAACGTTGATGTTTTCTCAACAGGCACACACATATCTTCAACGAAACCCATTCCCTTCTGTGACAAAAGGGCATTGAGATATGAGACTCATTCCAGGAGGTTCTAGATCAGTGGTTCTCAAACTTCCTAATGCCGTGACCCCTTAATACAGTCCCTCATGTTGTGGTGACCCCCAACCATAATATTGTTTTCATTGCTACTTCATAACAGTCATTTTACTACTGTTATAAATCATAATGTAAATATCTGATATGCAGGATGCATTTTCATTCACTGGACCAAACTGGGCACAAATACCCAATACACCCAAATGTGAATGCTAGTGGGGTTGGGAGGATTGATTTTGTAATTTGGGAGTTGTAGTTGCTGGGATTTATAGTTCACTTATAATCAAAGAGCATTCTGAACTCCACCAGCGATGGATTTGAAGCAAACTTGGCTCCCATGACCAATGGAAAACATTGGAAGGGTTTGATGGGCATTGACCTTGAGTTTGGGAGTTGTAGTTCACCTATATCCAGAGAGCACTGTGGACTCATGCAATGGTGGATCTGGACCAAACTTGGCATGAATACTCAATATGCCCAAATGTGAACACTGGTGGAGTGGGGAAAATAGATCTTGACATTTGGGAGTTGTAGTTGCTGGGATTTATAGTTCATTACAATCAAAGAACATTCTGAACTCCACCAACGATAGAATTGGCTCAAACTTCCCACATGGAATCCCCATGACCATCAGAAAATACTGTGTTTTCTTATGGTCTTTGGTGACCCCTCTGACACCCCCTCGCGACCCCCTCAGGGGTCCCGACCCCCAGGTTGAGAAACACTGGTCTAGATGCCCCTCCACAAGAATGTGCCCATTCAGTTCAATGGAGAGGCCCACTCTGGATCTGGAGCTATCCACCTTTTGTGTTGGGCTGGGCTTTAAAACACCTAGTTAATCACCAGCAGCAGAAAGGTAAAGGTAAAGGTTTTCCCCTGATATTAAGTCCAGTCGTATCCAAGTCTGGTTGGTGCTCATCTCCATTTCTAAGCCGAAGAGCCAGCATTGTCCATAGACACCTCCAAGGTCATGTGGCCGGCATGACTGCATGGAGCGCTGTTACCTTCCCGCTGGAGCGGTACCTATTGATCTACTCCCATGATGGTGAATCTATGACACGCGTGTCAGCACTGACACACATGGCTATTTTTGATGACACGCAGACACATGCAGCTGCATACAGAGAAATACACCTTGTAAGAGCCAATCTAATTCCATCCTTAAATTTGTAAAAGGCTCTACAAATTTAACAACTGCACGTTTGAGCATTGTTCACTCCATAACTCAGCATGGAATATACATTTTTCTCATTTAAACTATAAATATTGCAAAATTGGGAGGAGGAATTGGGTTTGTATTGGTTTTATTGATTTTATTGATTTTATTGGTATAATGCATGAATTGTTGTTAACTGTGAATTTGATGTAATTTTGTGTTTTGATTGTTCTGTGATGCAGGCATCAAATTGTGCCTTTGCTTTTGTAAGCTGCCCTGAGTCCCCTTCGGGATGAGAAGGGCGGGGTAAAAGAACCCGAAATAAATAAATAAATAAATTATGGTTTTTTCTCTCGAAGTGACACCCCACCCAAGTTATGCCCAGGTTTGTGGCAAATTTTGACACACCAAGCTCAAAAGGTTGCCCATCACTGATCTACTCACATTTGCATGTTTTCGAACCGCTAGGTTGGCAGAAGCTGCGGCTAACAGCAGGAGCTCACGCTGCTCCCCGGATTCAAAACTGTGACCTTTCGGACAGCGAGTTCAGCAGCTGACTGAAACCCAATGCCCCACCAGGGGCAATAGATCTTACTAATTCAAAGGTTGGCAGTTTGAAGTCCGTGTTGGGAGGAGCACCCAACCTTCAGCCCTGCTTACTGTCCACCTAAGCGGTTCGAAAACGGTTGTGAGCTGTGAGTAGAGAAATTAGGCACCACTTAAGTGGTGCAATATTTTATGGCACCATAAAGGAAATACCAGAAAATGCCAGCGATCAAAGGAAGGAGAAAGTCTATGATCAAGGGCTGTTTGTCATAGAGGATGGAGCGACAGCACCTCTTGAGGCCTGAATTGAGCACAACCTCCAGGACGCCGAAGTTGGGGAAAATGTCAACATTATACCTCTATCTGTTGTCTGTCCTGTCTGTTTGATGGCATTGAATGCCTGCTGTGTATGTGTTCTGTGCTCCATCCCCAAGTTCTCTCCGGGGTGAGAAGGGTGGAATATAAATGTTGTAAATAAATAAATAGGAGATCTACCAACAAGAAATGAGATCTGGGCAGGTGTCTCCATGTTGTAATAAGGTCTTGATGGCCTTTATGTGGAGGAAGAAGACTCCAGCCTCCCCAGGCTTTGTAGTAAGATCATGAAGTTCATCCTGAGGACCAACTTGGGCCTTGGCTAAGCCCTAACAGATACTTCTCAGAGAAGAAAAACAAAGGGTGGAGAACACTGCCTCCATGCAAAAGAGCCGGCATCAGGCAACTAACTCTCTCTGTGACCATTTCAACCACCTGCTACATGAGGAAAACATAACAGTGATCTTTACTTATGAGATACTAGCCGTGCCCTGCCATGAGTTGCTGTAGCCCAGTCTGTAATGTGCATTTTGTGTGTGTATATATGTTGTTTTGCACATGCATTGTATTCTTTTATATTTTAAAATCTCTTCTGCTGTGATTTTCAGTGTTTTTATGACTGATGGTCACTCGTTGGCCTGAGAGGTGTATTGTGTCCAAATTTGGTATCAATTCGCCCAATGATTTTTGAGTTCTGTTAATCCCACAAATGGACATTACATTTTTATTTATATAGACTAGCTGTCCCCTGCCATGCATTGCTGTGGCCCAGTCTGTGTATGTGTGCTTTGTGTATATATTTATGTATATGTGTATATATGTGTGTTTGTGTGTATGTATATATATACATATATATATATATACACACACACATATATATACATATACATACATATACGTATGTATATGTGTGTGCGTGTGTGTGTGGCTTTGTGCATGCGTTGTAATATATTTTTTTGATTTTTGGCTTTTAAACCAGTGGTTCTCACCTTTCCTAATGCCGCGACCCCTTAATACAGTTCTTCATGTTGTGGTGACCCCCAACCATAATTCTAACATTATGAATTGCCATGTAAATAAAGATCTGCAGGATGTATTTTCATTCACTGGAGCAAATTTGGCACAAATACCTGGTATGCCCAAATTTGTATACTGGTGGGGTTGGGGGGGATTGATTTTATCATTTGGGAGTTGTAGTAGCTCAGATTTATAGTTAACACGTAAACAAAGAGCATTCTGAACCCCACCAACAATAGAATTGAACCAAAGTTGGCACAGAGAACTCCCATGATCAACAGAAAATACTGGAAGGGTTTGGTGGCCATTGACCTTGAGTTTGGGAGTTGTAGTTTGCCTATATCCAGAGAGCACTGTGGGCTCAAACAAGGATGGATCTGGACCAAATTTGGCACGGATACTCAATATGCCCCAATGTGAACACTGGCGGAGTTTGGGGAAAATAGACTTTGACATTTGGGAGTTGTACTTGTTGGGATTTATAGTTCACCTACAATCAAAGAGCATTCTGAACCCCACCAATGATAGAATTGTGCCAAACTTCCCACACAGAACCCCCATGACCAACAGAATATAGTGTGTTTTCTGATGGTCTTTGGCGACCCCTCTGACACCCCTTCGCGACCCTCCCAGGGGTCCCGACCCCCAGGTTGAGAAACGCTGTTTTAAAGTCTCTTCTGCTGTGTTTTCCAGTGTTTTTATGAGTGATGGTCACTCATTGGCTTGATACATGGCTTGTGTCCAAATTTGGTGTCAATTCGCCCAGTGATTTTTGAGATATGCTAATCCCACAAACAAACATTCAAATTTTATTTATATGGATTATTATTATTATTCCTTTGCTTTTTTTCTAAACAACATAGTATGATGGTTACTCCAATATTTTGGTGATTTATAATACCCAGACATAGCAATTTTCAATGGAACAAAGTTCAAACTAAGCACAACAACATGGCAGCAT